AATTATATATCAAATTTTTTAAATAATTGAATATTATAATAATTATTAATCTCTTAAATATTTAATTTAAAGTTAAAGAAAAGACGAAAAGAAAAAGAGAGAGAGAAAGAAAAAAAGAGGGAGAAAGGAAAAGAGGAAGAGAGGGAGGGAGGGAGGGGGAGAGAGAGAGAGAGAGAAAATTAAAAAAGAAAAAGTACAAGCAAAAGAGAGGGAGGGAGACAAAAGGAAAAAGGTGAAGAATAAATATAATATCAGGTATTAATATTGTTCAGTATTATTAAATATATCGTTAAATATTATTAAGAAATATTATTAAAAATTATTGATATTATTTAATTTATTTAGTTTTAAGAGAGAGAGAGAGAGAAGAGAAAGAAAGAGCGAAGGCAAAAGACGGCAAGTTTATTTAAAATTATACCGTTAGTCCAGCACAAACAGAATTATATCATTTACGATTATTATTACTCACAGTAAAGCGGGCTACAAGTTTTAATGATTTGAGAACTGTAAATGGAGAATTTTGTCTATCATTTTCAGCAGCATGTTTGGCATTAGGTTTAATCGAAGATGATGATGAATGGAAACGAGCTATGAATGAAGCTGTTGGATGGATGATGCCTCGACAACTTTGTAGATTATTTGTGCGAATATTATTACATTGTCAGTCACTACATCCTGAAGATTTGTGGGAAAATTTTCAAGTAGCAATGTCTGTGGATTACGTTCTACATTTTGGTATTTTACAAGGACAAAATAAAGCTTATGCGCAAATTAATAGTATGCTTCGTACTGAAGGTAAAAGTTTATTAAATGTTACATTACATTATAACTGTGATAAACAAATTAATAAAATTTATTCAAATTTCATATATATACATTTATTTTGAAAAATACATATGTTATCTCCGTAATAAAGATTTTCAAAGATTATTATTCAAATTGCTTTTAAATAAATTTTCAATATGAAAAAAGTCTACTTTAACAATATGTTTAATCATAATTAGCTTATTATATCTTAAAAGATTCAATTAAAATCTATTGATATTGATTAAATATTTATACCAGTAAAAAGTTATTTATTAATAATTATTATAATTGTAATTATAATAAATAATATATACACATTATTATAAGAAACTAGAAGATGCTTATCCTTATTATCGTAGACGAGATAATGGTAGAAATTTTGAACGTCCTGGTGAATATATAGTCGATAATCGTTTAATCGTTACATATTGCCCTATTTTATCGATTATATTTAATTGTCATATTAACGTTGAAATAGTTTCAAGTATCAAATCAGTTAAATATCTGTATAAATATATTTACAAAGGACACGATGTTGCTGCTATAACAATTGAGCCAATAACAGAAAATGTAATTATTGATCATGATGAGATACGTGAGTTTATAGAAACTCGCTATGTTGGACCTGTAGAAGCCAGTTGGCGTATACTTGGGAAAAAGCTACAAGATAAAAGCCATACCATAATGCGTTTACCAGTTCATCTTCCTAATGAACAAAACGTTATAATTGAAAACGAAGCCATTGAAGAGGCAATGACTTCTGCTTTAAATCAAGCTACAATGTTGATTGATTATTTCTCATTAAATTCTCGCGACGAAGAAGCAAGACAATATTCATCTGTAGAAATTCCATGTTATTATACGTTTAAAAAAGAGAAAATCAATGGTAGAAATGTATCGCATTGGATTAAACGCAAAAGTCATTATAATTGTATAGGACGAATGTATTCCGTTAGTCCAACACAAACAGAATTATTTCATTTACGACTATTATTACTCACTGTAAAGGGAGCTAAAAGTTTTATTGATTTAAAAACTGTAAATGGAGAAGTTTGTCAATCATTTTCAGCGGCATGTCTAGCTTTAGGTTTGATTGAAGATGATGATGAATGGAGACGAGCTATGAACGAAACTGTTGGATGGATGATGCCAAGACAACTTCGTAGATTATTTGTACGTATATTATTACATTGTCAACCATTGCATCCTGAAGAGCTATGGGAAAATTTTAAAGTAGCAATGTCGGAAGATTATGTACGACACTTTGGAATGTTACAAGGACAAATAAAAGCATATGCGCAAATTAATGCTATGCTGTGTGCTGAAGGCAAAAGTTTGGCTGATTTTTCACAAATGGAACAATTGCAAGAAAATAACGAAGAACATGATTATGTGACAATTGAAGAAGCTATAGAAGTTGGTGTCAGACAATATGAACAATTAAATGACAAACAGAAAGAAATAGTAGATCTTATATTAAATAGATTAGACAATAATAATCACAATAGTAATTGTTTTTATATCGATGGTCCAGGTGGTTCAGGTAAAACGTTTACATATACAACTATCTATCACTTAGCCAAAATTCGTAATAAACATGTATGTACAATGGCTTTTACGGGCATTGCAGCGACATTGTTGCCAGCAGGAAAAACGGTTCATAAGACATTTGGATTGCCGGTTCCATTATTTGCTGATTCATCATCTAGCATTAAAATCCAATCAAAGGAAGCTCAATATTTGAAAAAAATAAATATTTTTATTTGGGATGAAGCGCCAATGGCACCACGATATGCTCTAGAGATTATGGATCGAACATTGCGTGACATCATGAATAATAATTTACCTTTTGGTGGAAAAATTATTGTATTAGGTGGTGATTTTAGGCAACTTCTTCCTATTAAAATACATGGTACCCGATGTGAAATCGTGAATCTTTCCATCAAATTTAGTCCTAATTGGAAACATTTTATAAGTTTCTCTTTAACGGAAAACATGAGAGTTCTCCCAGAGGAAACTGAATTTGCAAAATTTCTATTGGATTTGGGAGATGGCATATTAAATGATTCTAATGATAATATACAACTTCCGGATTATTGTATTGCACCCATTAGTGCTGATATTGTAGAAGATATATATGGTGATCTAATACGAAATAAAGAATTTAATAAAATGGCTAAGTGTGCAATACTTTCTGCAAGAAATGCTGATGTCGAAGAAATTAATAAACGAGTTGTTGAATTATCAGATATATCTGAGGAACAAATTTATACAAGTACAGATAGTACTGAAAATTGCGGTGATAATTGTGATATTAATGAAGTTTTACTACCAGAATATTTAAATACTTTATCTCCATCATCTCTTCCTTCTTATGAATTACGTTTAAGACCGAATTGTATCATTATGTTGATTAGAAATCTCAGTATCAATGAAGGTCTTTGCAATGGTACAAGATTAATGATTATAGAACTTGCTGATCATTTATTGAAATGTAAAATCTTAACGGGTGATAAAGTAGGAGATATCGTTTTCTTGAACCGTATAACATTATATTGCGAAAATATATATCCTTTTACTTTTAAAAGAAGACAGTTTCCGATAAAATTAGCTTTTGCTATGACAATTAATAA